GTTATTTCTCGGACTGCAACTGTGACCTTTTCTCTAGTTCCACAACCCCACAACTTGCCCCAAGTTGAAAGAAAATGAAGTGCTCAATTTTCAAGTGCATCCAAGCTCAATATTGGCTCCGGATGCACCTAAAATATGTGTTTCTCTTCCCCCATGCAATTCGTTGTATCTCGGTTGCATGGGGCCTTGATTTTTCTTGATTTTCTCTGCAAAATCTAAAAAATATCAAGGTCCTTTGCAACCGCCATATTCCAGAATGTATCTGGTCACGGATGTATCTCCCAAAGTGGTCGTTTTTTACCGTTAAGGTTGTTTTTTTTTTTCCTCCTTTTTTGGAAAGTAGGGACCTGCCAGTCCCTACTGACAGCCAACTCACTCACTCCCTCTTACTTTTCTTGTCTTATTCTCCCACCTTTTTCTTTTTTTTTTTTTTCTTTTTCTAGCATGCCAAGTGTCAAGTAGTCATTAAGGTTTTTTTCTAGGCCCTTCCTCTTAGTTTTGGCCCTCCCTATGCCCATGGTGCAGTCCGTTATATCTCGGACTGCAACTGTGGCTCCCTCATGCCCATGGGAGCCTCCTTTTACCTCTATTTCTCTCACACAGTGGCCCCTCATATTCCGATTTTCTCCCGGAGGCCTATTTTTCACATGGAGTCTCTTTTAACTCCATTTTCTTGAGGGGGGTCAATCCGAGGTTTTTCGGATTGCTTCCATGCCTCATCCTCCTTGTTTCTTTACTTTTTTTTTTCCTTTTGGTCTTCCCGTTTGCTTGGACCACTAGTGCTTGCACTAGTGATGCTCATATTCTTGGTCGTCAAGATTTTTATCTCCTCAATCCTTTTCGAGACCTTCTCATGTCCCCGCCACTTGTCCCGTGCTAGTTCTTGGTACTTGTCCCGCCTGGTGGTCCCCGACACTTTGTCCCGTCGGTGGTCCCCTTCTCTTTGTCCCGTCGGTGGTCCTCGACACTTTGTCCCGTCGGTGGTCCCTAACACTTTGTCCCATCGATGGCCCCCAACACTTTGTCCCGTCGGTGGTCCCCGACACTTTGTCCCGTCGATGGTCCCCGACACTTTGTCCCGTCGGTGGTCCCCGACACTTTGTCCCATCGGTGACCCCCGACATTTTGTCCCATCGGTGGTCCCCAACACTTTCTCCCCTCGGTGGCCCCCGATAATTCGTCCCGTCGGTGGTCCCTGAAACTTTGTCCCTTCTTTCTCTAGTGCTCTCCAGTCGTCAAGGACCCTTTCTCGTATGGCCTTGACAACCCATTGTGACCCTTATTTTCTAGCGCCCCGCGGTCATCAGGGTCGTCCATCTTTCAACTTCAATATTCTTTTGACATTTGTCGCGCCCTGCTTGCTCAGTTCATGGCCCCTCGGGTTCTTACCAAGCCGAATTTGAATGACCCTCATGACCCCATGCTATGCCCCTATGCGCCCTTGTCCTGTTACTTACTTGCTTGCCATTGTCTGGTCCTTCACCTTGCGGTATTTAGCCCAGGGCATCATTCCTTCTTGCAGTCCCGTCCTAGTCCTTTGTCTTTTCTCTCTCTCTTGTCTCCTTTCTTCGGATTTCTCTGTCGTGCAGAACTTGGCTATGTACAGGCTCTCAAGTGTCGGAATGTTATTTGGGACTCACATGTCCCGACGCATTCCCCCCACTCATTCTCGATGTCCTCGTCGCGCATCAGTCTTCTGTCAGTAGGAGGGTCTGGAGAGATAGACGGAGGAGAGGGGGTGGAATGTAATAGGTAGTTAGTTTGTCAGGGTCCTTTTTGTCTTTTCTTGTTCCTTTCTCGGAGTCTCTTCCAGTCTCTGCTCCTTGTGGTGGAGAGGGGTGTGTGGGGGGTCAAGTTCTCTTTTAGGTGCTCCTTCAGGCTTCTTTCGTCTCATTTTCCCTCCCATAGTACATCAAGTTTTTCGTCTCATTCATCACCCGTAGTTCATCAGGTCTTTTGTCTCATTCATCACCCGCAAACTCAATCAATTTTACGTGCATTTCTCTTTTGGACATCTTGCCAGGTCTTTCTCAAGCCCAAGCTTAATCAATTTTACATGCATCTCTATTTTGGTCATCTTGCCAGACCTTTCTCAAGCCTAAGCTCAATCAATTTTACATGCAAATTCTCTCGAACTCATGGTAACTTTATCCTTTTAACCGTTGTTCTTTTTATTGCATGTTTTTTCATCGGTAGATGGCATACTTTCCCCTCACTCGAAATGTAATGTCCCCATCGCACGACTGGTTCTCACTCGGAGGTACGGAACCTTGGCCCACCAACTGAGTCAAGAACGCCGGCCCACCTGCTCCTAGAAGGAAGGGTGATCGGTCCCTCCTCAGCAGGCAACACCTCATCCTTCTACTTAGTCCGACCTTTTGCTATTATGAGACGGGTGTCATTGTTGAGGTACCACCTCACTTCTGGCAGGTAGGTCCAGTCCAAACCTCCCAGGACCCCGTTTTGTCATAAAGGCATCCCTCGCGAATCGTTCCTACCGAGTGGTATTTTCTTGGATCCGGATTCTTCCTTTCAAGATAGTTGGGGCTCTCTATTAGTCTGCGAGCGCAGTTACGAAGATTTCGCGGTTAGTCCCAGAACAGTTGTAATGATCCAGCAAAGCAGTATCAATGCCCTGTGGTGGGTGCGGACTCCACACGGTACATCGTCTAGCCCCTCCCTTTGGATAGTGCCGCTGAACTTAATGTGAGTAGCCTTGGTCCATCCCAAGCGGCCACGTCGTCCCTCTACGGTATGACGTGTGGTTGGGGAGAGCAAATGAGACGAGCAAAAAAATAGTACTTCACCCATTTGGTTCCTCACCCTTTGACGTTTAGGTTCCCAACATGAGGCACAATTTGAACTCCCCGACTAGAGCTCGTTGTCGGAGTTAGTTCCGGATGGCGAGCACCAATCAAAGAGAGAGATGCCTTAGTCCTTTAACCCCTATCCTTCTTTATGAGTAACAAGTCGCACTGAGACTTTCCATTGAACAGTAGAGGTCCTGGGGTCACGGTGTAGGCACCGATATCCCCCTCCTGCTGAGGCATGAGACTAGATAAAAAGAAAAACTCTTTCAATGTCATTTCCATGTCTTTTCCAATCCGCCTAGGGCCCCCTGATGTGCAATGCAATTTCCAATCCTCAAGCAATTCCGCAATGCAAACTCCAGATCATGCAAGCTCAACCTTTCTCAACCAATCATGCAAGGGGACCCTAGTAACTATTTACAAATGACCATTATCAGCGGTCATTTTGCCATTTCCGGTCGAACAACCTTATCAGGTCATTCTTTTCCATCTCAATCGAACGACCTTGTCATGGTCGTTCTTATCCATTCCAGTCAAACAACCTTGTTAGGGTCATTCTTATTCATTTCAATTGAACGACCTTGTTAGGGTCGTCCTTATCCATTTCAATGTTAGCGCCCGAGGGGGTGGACCCCGAGGACACAGATCCCATCTTTGTCTTAGGGGTTAGAAGGTGGCCATCTTTTACAGTTTTTTGCGCGCGGTATCTCTCATCCTTTCTCAATATCATTTGTTGTTCCTCATGCATACATCCAACTTAGTGTCTAGTGCTCGAGTTGAGGTTCGCAACCTCAAGTAACACTTAGCCCACCCGGTCGTTCAACCATAGCGAAGGGTAGGGACATCCTTTCTGTTTTCACTCTTTCTGACCTCTCAGGCTTCCTGCTACTTTTGGCTCATTCACGACTCTGTTGGATTAGGCTCCTAGGGAAGAGAGGTTCTCACACCTCCTTACCCATATGTCCCCTAACCTCTCTTGTACTCGACCGACACTCAACGCCCTGTTTTGCTTGTCAATCCAAATTCATAGCAATCTTTGTCTCGTTCAGGCTCACAATACAATCATCCCAACCAGTCTTGTCTCCATACCCCTTGTCATTGTTTCATACATAATTTTTCGAAGGTAGCTCATCCAAGAAGTAGCTCAAATACTGTTTTTTAACTCATTGAGGCGTAGTTTTGGCTAGTCCTTGTACCACTCATTCCTAGCAAGCTCATTCCTAGCAAGCTCATTCCTGTTATCCAAACTTTTTGCCACTTTAATATTGCAAAAAAACACAACTTTTGTAGTTTCTCTCGTTGTCGTCTGTCTTATACTGCTTGGTTCCCTTTCATCCCTTCCTTTCGTTAACCCCTTGACTCCCAGGCCAGAGGCCAGGATTTCCCTCTTTTTCCTCGCAATTTCTTGCAACTCCTTCTCATTGTAAAAATTCAAAGGCGTAGCTGCCACTCCGGCCTCCATCAGTTCCCTGGTCTTGATGATCCAGTCATGTTTGATCACACTAATTCATTGCTCTGACCAATGATTGCGTGTAGGCCCAAACTCATCTTCCCATCTGAAGGGTCTTTCTTGTGACTTGCTTGTGGTGGGTCGCCCTTCTTCTCTAGGCCTTGAGATTTCATCCGTTTCATCACTACCGCTAATCTCAATAACCTCTTGCACCTCGTCCTCATCCTCTTCCCTCCGTACGAGGCTAAACTCACCCGTAAGATTTTCAGGGTCCAAGTTACAGGGAATGTCCACCCTCCTTTCGCATTCCTCCCCAAAGTCTGTATATCCCCTCTCACAACTGTCATGACCGCTTCGTTCGTCATGCAGGCTCTCTCTTTCTTCTCCCCCTTTTTCGCCACCATTAATCATACCTTGTCTTTCTTCCTCCTCCTTGTACCATTGCTTATGTTGTTTGCACCCCTCGACAATCTTCTCGGCAGAGGTCTGAGCCCTATCTTTTTCCAATCCACCACTTTCTCCCACACTCGCTCTCTCTTCCTCACTCTCACTCCCTGATGAGATATATATTCTTTCTCCCTTCTTGATAGGCCGCCCTTTACATACACATTTTCTTACTCCTCTGCCCACTACTTGTTTGGACAGGTACCCTACACACAGTTTCCTCTTAACAGTCTTCTGCTCCCCACTTGGTCCCGCTCCTTCTCTCTTGTTGGACCTGTTGATCACATTGCTGTCATTTTCGTTGCCGAATTTCATTCTCGCTTTTAAGGTTTCTTCCCTGATCCTGTTATCCATAACAAAACAACACCCGCCGAGCCCCACATACAAAGCCATATTATACATTGCCCCTCCATACAGATGTCGCGATTGTAATGACCCCATCATATCCCCACAAAAATTATGGTACAATGCCTCAGGCAGCCTTTCCCGATACCATCCAACCCTTACTCACACAAAAAATCCATGGCGCAAAGGTTCCAAGGCACCCCACGTTGTCAATCAGCCCAAGCAGTTACCCTCTCTGCGAAAAAAACGGAAATCCCACAGCTGTAGTCATTTTCAAAATAAGCACAAAACATAATACAGATAAGATGGTCGTCACTCCTCAATCTGTCGGTTCCCCGGTTTCTTTATCCCGGGCCTCCTGCAACCATTGTTCCATTGGATCCCGACTTAGAAACCTGACCAAGCGTTGCCCTGGGGAGGGTCCTCTTAATCCAGTTTCATCCAAATCTTCCAATTCGAAGGTGTTCAGTCCCACGCGCTTAGCAATCCGGTAGGGGCCTTTGAACCTCTTCCCCAGTTGCCCAGACCATGTGCTTTCTAGTGCCAAGTTTCTAACCAGTATCATTTCCCCCACTGAAGTGGCCCTTTCCGGATATTCTTGATCTAGTTTCATCTTGCTTTATCCCTCATCATGCTATCCAGTACCCGATTGACAATATCCTTCATGGCTTCCTTATTCCTAAGGACCTGTTGGCACCGTGTTTCAATTAGCTCTTTCGTGGTCATGCGCAGATCGTCGTCTAACCTGTTCCAGGTGGGTATCAAGGCATCCACGGGGAAATCGATCTCTCTTCCGTACCAGAGTTCTGCAGGGATACATCTCGTCATCCTATTAGGTGTCATGTTCTCCGAAAAGACAGTCTGCTTAAGGTATCTAGGTCAACTCCCCAGATCGTCGGCCGTGAGCTTCGCAATTGTGTTCTTTAAGGTTCGGTGCCCCCTTTCCACATGTGCATTAGGCTCAGGGTGATATGACCCGATGAGCTTGATCGGTACGTAGAGCCTTTTAAGCATTCCCAACACTTCTTGGTTTACACATTTCGTTCCATTGTCTGCTATGAACCTCCTGATGAAGGGATGCCTCAGGTAAAAATCTTTTATTCAGTCTGTTACACCTTTCCTCGTCTTTTTCTTGAGGGCGACTGCCTCCACGAATCGACTCAAGTCGTCCCGTGCATCCAGAAATACCTGTATTCATCCGTTGATACAGGCATGACCGCAAGGTCAAGATGGATCAGATGTCCTAACATTAGACCCGTGTTGGTGTAAGTGGCTCGAAGACGCAGACCGAGCTCCGTTCCTCGCAGATCAGACAGGTCTAACAGTACGTGGCCACCATACCCGCCATGCCTGACCAATAATAGAGAGGTGTTATTTTTGCAAGGGTCCCTTTGGATGATCGATGTCCCCCTGCTAGTCCGTCGTGCATCGCTTGGATTACGTCCAGCTGCCTAGACCTCCCGCATACGACTCTCCTAGGCGTAATACCTTCCTCCCTCCTGAACAGATGACCGCTCCTTAGGACGTACCTTTCGGCCTCCTCCCTTGCTTTAAGGCCGACCTCCACGGGTTGCTTGTTTCCTACCATCAACAACCCGATTTCTCGAAATATCCCTTCATACATCTGAACATAGAAAAACTTTTTCCCTTCCTGATCCTCACCCTGCCTCTCCTACATTTGGTTCACCAATAGCTGCAATGTTTTTCGTTCCCAAGACTCTACTAAACTCATCAGCCATCGCTATCAATTCCTCCCCCGAACCCACTATCGCTCCCCATGCATCCTTCTCCTCTTTGTGTCCTTGTGTGGTGACTGACCCTTCCCTAAGCTCCGCAACTACGGCAGTGCCATTTTTTCCAAAGTCCGAATCAACAATTCCCCCGACGCGTATACTTTGCTCATCATTTCGTTATCCACCGCAAGGGCTCCTCCTTTTTATTCAAGGAATGTGTCTATGAGTTCCGCATCCTCCACCCCTTCGGGTGTGATGCAGACCCGACTTAGCCCATCTGCCTTGTTTACGAGTCTAGCAATTCGTTCGATTTTGTAATCGAACTGCCGGATGAAGCCTACCCATCTCCCAACCGTCGGATCTATAGGCTTGTAATTTTTTAAAGCCCCTGCGACATTGGTCAAATCGATCCTTAGGATAAAACGCCTCCCAAATAGCTAGGCTTGGAAGGTTTTGAGGCAATGTAGAACGGCTAGGACATCCTTATTGAACTGAGAGTATCGTCGTTCTGCAAAGTTCAGAGTTCTACTTTCGAACCTAATCGGCCTTTCTTTCCCTTTCTCGTCTTTCTGTATCAGAACGCCCCCTACGACCAAGGGTCCTCCGTCCGTCTCGAGGATAAACGGTCGTCCAACTTCGTCCTTAAAAACAGGGCGCTGCCAAGGCAGCTTGTTCCAATGTGAGTATGTCCTTGAGGGTTTGGACGGCAGCCTCTCGCTCCTCAGTCCAATCCATGGTTCCTTCCTCTCTGATCATGGCGCGGATAGGCGCGACAATTTTGACAAAATTTTTAATAAATATCCTCCAAAAGTCGATTACGCCTAAGAATGCTCTTACCTCCGTTGTCGTGCGCAGGGGCGTTGTCCATTGAGATATCTTATCGATTTTTGTCGAGTCTAGCTTCCTCCCATATGCTCCACAGCGGAATCCCAATATGGTCACGTCCGGAATTGCCTGAATACTCTTTGGTCCGCTAGCCATGATGTTGTATACTAGGAAGCGGCGGAGTAAGTCTTGATGTCTTGTAGATGGTCCCACACAAATTTTTGAATTCTCAGCTGAACTTCCATCTCGTTCTTCTCCTGGGCGCCTTTGATGGGGTTGTCATTGATGTAGGGTTCACATTTTTCTGGGAACATGTCCCCTGCTACGGCGAGCATCCTTCGTTGTGCTTCGGCCACCTCGTTTATAAAGCCCATAGGGGTTACCTGCATTTGCAACTGTCCTGCGGGAGTATGCATTGCGATGTATGGTCTGTCCCGCGTGTCCAATGGGAGTTGATCGTACCCTGAATACAAGTCTACCAGGAGTAAATGCTCCGGTCGGCATGGGATTCTTCCAACAAGTCGGCCTGCGGTAGCGAACCGGCATCGCGGATGGTCACTGCATTCAATTTTTGCAGATTTTGAATCCACCTCACCGTCTTGTTGGGCTTTCGAAAGACGAACCACCTGTTCGCATACGGAGACGAGGTAGGCTCTGCGACGAAGGAGTCAATTTTTGCTCTGAGTAGGCCAATTACTTCTCCCGCTATCCCGAACACGTAGGCCGGTCCTTTGTCATTCCAACACTCATGCTTTACTGTGTGGATCCTAACCGGAGGGATTAGCTTCGCGTCTAACCGCCCCTTCTGATGATCACTGAAGGCAAATGCCAGATGAAACTCCTGGCACGTCCTCTTGATCAGGAGGGTTTCTTCTTCTGTTAAAAATCCCTCTATTCCTATCTTCATGGTATCAACCACCTTATCCGGTATCTGATGTCCTTCCTTTTTCCATAGCCTCCTCCTTAGATGTCTCTAGTAGGATTGAGACCGACTTAGCTTTCTTTCCTACTGGTTTGTACTTTCGAACACTTCCTTCCGGGATCTTTCTCCTCAAAAATGAACGGTCAGGATTGCCAACATTGTCTCCGCGATCCGCGATTGAATATTGATTACCTTTCCATTCAAACAGTATCTTTTTCGTACTTCCTCTTCAAATTTGGCCAGCGTCATCGAGTTCACCCCTACTCTGTGATATCTGATAGCTTTGATGAGTTGTAGCAAATCGGGGATTTCGAGTGTGACTTTTGATGTCTCCCTTTGCACCTCTTTCAGCTTGGGCAGACTGACCCCAAGTTCAACCTCCGATTCCTTTTCCACTACCATGACCCCTACGGCCTCGTCCTCCTGTCTCCTCTTCTTCTGAGGCAGACCAATCTTTATCCATTCTTTCTTGTTGAATGCCTCCTCAATCATGATTTCTACCCTTTCTCTCATTCCCTCCATTCGAGCAAAACCTCCCTTTCGAGCACTATCTTCGAACGAAGGCGACCATGTCACCAATTTTCCCTTAGGAGGGTCTCCTCCGGTCCCGATGAGTCAGAGGAGCTCCCCACGCCCAGTTACCGGGTCCTCAAAGTCTACCATGTACGTTCTGTCATGCAGATGCATCCCTACCATTTCTACATTGACACACCATGGTCTCTCGAGGATTATGCCGTGGTCCGTCTCGTCTAATACGGTCATCCGTTGAAACGACCAGATGCCTGCTTTGACTGCACATTTGGTGACGTATCCTGAAAACGGGATCTCGCCACCGACCCCTCGGATGCCCCCCATTAACTTCCTTGTTAACTACACACCCGGTAACTGTTGCAAAATATTTCCTTATAAGTGTGATTTCTGCACCTCCATCTACTAGAGCATCTGTGTGATGAGTCCCGATCTGCACTTTTAGCTTTCCTATGGGCAGCGCATGGAAACTAAGCTTTGTCCCGAGTGGAGCTCTCATGACTTCCCTGCCTTTACGGTCCGGTAAGCTCAAGCAGATGTCTGCGAAAACCTTTTCTAAATCCTCCAAATCTCCAGGAATCATTTGAAGGTTAGCGACTTCTTGCGGAGTTTCCTCCTCCTTTTCCTCTTTTTGTGATTCCGGATTTTCGTCTATCTCCACTCGTTAGCGAGTCAATAGTTGTCTAAGCCCTTTGAGCAGTCTGGGGCTTGCTTGCAACATGGTGTGAAAGGATACTGATACCATGGTTCCCAATAACTTGCTAAGAGTGTCGTCGATCTCCGACATGGTTAGGATCAGGATTTAATACCTGAACTTTTTCTTTGCAGCGGTGACGTTGTCCGTAGGCTCCTTTTCTCCGGTTCCCCGGTTTCAGGCTCTGCTTGGACCGCAGTGCCTCCCACAACCTCCTCCATCACTGTATCACGGATAACTCTTCTTCCTGTAGTTCCTAGTCGAGTAGTCGTGTTCACACTATCACCCGTCACTTTTTAGGATAAAGTTAACCTGTGGTCCGCGCCCTCGGGGCTGATCCCAGACGATTTCGGCTACTGGTTCGGCCTCTACTGCTGCTATGTCCAGGTTGTTGAGAACAATAACGACACACTGCATTCCCCCAAGCGAGTTTCAGTTCACTCGCTCCCCTCGAGGCTCAAATATTTCCCCTTTTAGTGACCAGGTACATCTCTTTCTCATGATATCATGGTTGAGCTTTGGGCAAGCTCGCACAAAGTGTACAAACGTTGTGCAGTATCTGCAATACTTGTTGGCGGGGTCTGTCCTATTGAACACCCGGTTGGCCACTCCTGCTGGGACCACGACTTCTTGGGGAGGGAGGGAGGGTCGGGATACTTGTGTCTGCATTACCATTAGTGAGTTCTCCACCCTTTCTATCTTATTGTCGACTCCATGCACGCGTTCATGTAGGCTTTCGATCCCCCTTTTCACCTTATCCCCTGTCTTACCACTCAGATCTATGACTTCTTCTTCCTTAAGCAAGGCCAATGACTCGGTTACTACCGTTTTCTCGGCAAGGTCTGTTACGGTACTGAAATCAGCATCCCTCGTATTTACGGATTTGCTCGTCTGCTGGTATGCTGACAAAATTTTGTCCTTATCGAACTCAAAGAACTGCCTGAGGAAATACTTGCTCATTATTCGGTCCGTTACCCCGGGGATCCTTAGCGCCACCAGGGTGAATTCTCTCAGGAAGTCATTGTATGTGGCGAAGTTCTTCCTTTGTACTGCCGCTAGCTTGGCTTCTGTTGCCATCTTTTCTGCCACCACATACTTCCTCATCATCACATCCCGAGTCTCCTTCCAAGACCTGCTCGCGGCAACGATAGCCATTATGTCTCGCCCTAGGCTCAGCGACACATGCTGTCCTAGGTGATTCATCTTTTCCTCTTCACTCCATTTTAGTAACGCAGCCAGGTTCTCGTAGGCTATTAGGAACTCTGTGATGTTTGCCCTGTCAAACGTCAACTTTTTCTTAGCGTCCGCGAGGTATCCTTGGTTTTTGTTTAGTGCTTGTGTGAGGGACGACACCATCTTCCTGAGGCCACCCTCGGAGCTGCTGGTCTCGCCCGCCGTACTAGTTTCCTGCCCCTCCTTGCCGGCCCTTTGTCCTTCTCTGGTTTTTGCAGTCCCCTCCGGATCAAACCATCCCAATACCCTTTCCCTAAGGCTCCAGAGTCCCTCGCACCCCCTCATAACCATCCGCGTGGCCTACAGACGGCTGGCCCTGATGTCGATGGCTGGCGGATTTGTAGCTTTTTCCGTTTCTATTCCAGAGGAGTTCTCCCTCTCTTTCCTTTTTTTGCTAGGTGTTCCTCCGCGATCACGATCCTTACCCCCCTGCTCGATTCCGCGTCAGCTGGCCTTCCGTTCGTCATGCGGTCCTTCCCTCGGAAGGTCTTCCTCGTTTCCAATCATCATTTCCTCGATCAATCTTGCCTTGTACTCCACGGTTCTCTTTTCTATCTCTGCTAGTTTGCGCCTCGCGTCCATGATTCTCATATTCTTTGATACAGCTCTATCTGAATTTTGTGGGCTCGATCTCTCTTTATTTCTACCCTCCCTGGTTTCCTGGTCCCTTGTTTGCTTCCCCCGACTTTTCCCGAGCTTTCCCCTAAGGAGATCTCTTTCCTGTTCTCCTTGGTCCCATCCGGATTTGTCGATTCTCTGTCCTTTTGGCCCTCTTTGCTTTGTACGGCGCTGCCTCCTATGCCTGGTCCTCCCTCGCTTCTACGATTGTTTGTCTCATCTTCCGTTGCCATCTTGCCTAGATCTGCATAAGCCAGAGGATTTCCCAGGACACAGGCAACTCGGGACTGTTAGGTTCCATAGGCCCTAGTCTTTTCGGTTTACCTTATTCAAGAAGTAGCCCCTCCCCCATTTTTGTCCTTTAATTGTTTTCCCGAAAAGAGCCCGTAGCCAGCCCGCTTCTGTATCGAGCTAAGGAACATAACTCAGTTCCTCTTTCGAAAAGCTCGTTTAGAGTGTTCCGGTTCGCCGCGCAGGGCGCACAGGAGTTCCGGCTGGACACTCTGCCAGGGAGGGTCCCCGATCCTCCTTAAGGTCGACATTTCTTTTATCGTTTTTGAGAGGGAGTTCTCAACCTTTCTGGTCATGACGATTATCGTGGATGTATCCCCGCATGGGTTTATACAGAATGTGAGCTCGGCTACTATTACTTCCTGATCGGCGCACTCGCACTAGTAACGGGGCTCTTTCTTAGGGATTGAGCCTTCGTTCGGTATTCAAAAATGCCCACACTTCGCCACGCGTGGTTAGGTAAGGTTCGCATCTGCAGTGGTCGACCTGCCTTGGCCGAGCGTGCCCCCTCCCTACTTCCCAGACTTCGTGCTTTTACCGTCCCTTCCCCGTTTTGTAGTGGCGGGTTTGAGTGTCTGGCTCTGACGGTCCTTTCCCATTTCCATCGGTGAGCCCCTATATGTAATAGAGTATACTTTATTTGCCATACTAGCTCGCTCCCCGACGCTAGTCTTGCTCTCGTCCCCGTGGCCCTTCCGGTTCAGTAGGCTTCTCGAACAGTTGAGCTACCCCTACTAGATAGATCTCTCCGATTTCAATTTCTCTCCGAATTATTCCGCATGGACTAGAGAGAGAGAGAGAGACTAGAGACTGCGCAAAGAAAGAGAGAGAGAGAGAGAGAGAGAGAGAGAGAGAGAGAGAGAGAGAGAGAGAGAGAGAGAGAGAGAGAGAGAGAGAGAGAAAAAGTAAGAGAGAGAGAGA